CACCTACGGCCTCGTGAAAATTTTGGCGGGTAAACTATTAGCTCGGGAATCACGGAAAGATATTCAACCTTCAAGGTTTCGAATTCAGCTTTCTTGCGCTGGTGCGTGAAATTTTTACCTGTTTTCCAGTGTTTGGACTATTTTTGCATAGACTTAAGTACAAAGCAGTGAAAATCATTAATAGGTAATCGTTCGATGGGCCGAATTGCACAAAACGCACGATCGCACCGGCTAGTCTGGTTCGCGTTGCTATTTATTGCACTTCGAACAATGAAGAGCAACAACTGTCTGTGGAAAAACGACTGAAAACCGAGGGATGGGAGCAAAAAAAAGTCATAGATGTTCAGAGGATACAAGAATTGGAAAAAACCGTAGGGCTTATTGAAATCCATTATTCTTGGCTACAGTAAAGACACTGCCTTTCACAAAATTCTCATTTCACAACACCGCAAAAAACGCAAACTTCGGTAGACTGCCTTTGAGTTAATTCAATTCCAGCCTATCTAATTCACTTGGAAAAAGCCCTCATCTAGGCTGCTGAAGAGTCCTGATAAAGTAATGCTTAAAACAGAAGTAGCAACGAACCTATCATTATTTGAGGCATCCGAATAGAATGTGGAATGTCCAATATTGGCCGCATCACTTGAAACATTGCCCGGTATATTATCAACTGACCCGAAAGTATTTTTGATCATATGAGCAATGCCACGTGGGGCCGACATCACCTCACGTATCAGTGGTCCCGTTTTCCTGCAATCACATATACTACTAGACTGCTGGAAACAGTAGAAAATTATTGGATTAACTACACGCAAGCTATATACACGTTATGGGTAATTAGTTTGATCAATTGCAGTTCAGAGCGCCGCTCTCCAACTATGTACCCGGCAATTATGTGCTTTTTGCATCTATGCAATGCAGAAAACGCATATTGACGAAGTGTGTATGTGTGTGAGTCTGTACCGATTTTTTTTAAGTTTCTCTGAGCTATATTACATCGCCCGGTGAATAACCTGCCGGTAATCCCGGCATCTGCTTCGTTTCCTGAACGGACTATCAGTTTAACC